TGAGGTAATTGAGTAATCTCGGTGGCTGGGGCAAAATGAAGAGGTCTTTTTTTAAGTGATTTGATTCGGATTGGTGCGTTGTTCATGCGGTTTGTGTTTGGTCGCTGACTTTAGAACAGTGACGCTGCTTTCGGATTAATTGTCTGAACCCATTAAGCTGAATGAGGATTGAGAAGGATTTGTGCTCCAAATGGATATTGATAGAAAATTGCAGAAGGTTTTATTTTAGTTATTTCAGTCTAGTGTCTTTTTTAAATATTTTTGCACAGTGGTTAGTTCATATTTAACAATTTGATAGGTTTAACTAATTCTTTAGGGTTTCATTTAAATATAGAATTTTATCGTCTTTTTGAACTGTGCCAAGAATCAGTTTAAGGGCCAAACAAAAACAGTTTTGAACCTTCTTCTTTGGCTTAGAAAAGAAATTCTTGTTCCTCACGGAGGACACGAGGTTTATTTAAGATCGATAGACTTTTGCTGGTTTGTTCGTTTTTGTCTTCAAACTCTGATTTTCACTGTTTCTTGTTATATTTAACTAATATAAAATTTAAACGATACTTTTTCTTATGTTTTTTTGTCATCCGGTTATATTGCTTTGTTAATTTGCCATAGCAAATTAGATAGCACTTAACAAGACAAGCTTTTACATGTATTTAATTAGCTGCATGGAATTTAAATACTCCATGCTTGTTTTAAAATTTGCCTATTTTATTAATATTAGTGGAACTAATTATGTTCACTGGTTTAATTATTTATATGTATTATACGCTATAATTTGATGGGTTGTATTACAGGTGCTGAAGACAGTTCATAGCAATGCCCATTAATTTGCTTTATTGTTATAATTATTTACCGCAATTATAAAATTATTTAAAACGCAAAGAACTAAATTATGGCAGATTATGGAAAACTGCAAAACAATTTTTAAATTTCATGTTTTGCCTAGCATGGAATATTTCGGAATTTTTAAGTATCGAATGATTTCCATGAAGTCCATGTTAGTTTAGTCTTAATTGGCCGATTTTTTGGTATAATAACTCACTTACTTCCGATATTGTAACATATTTTTTTGCTGATAGTACAATTAATTAATTTTAACCTTTTAAAATAAATTCAATATATCAGCATCATAATACCATTTATAAAATTCCCTCAAACAAAATTGTCAATGATATTTTGGCTGAGTAATTCTGATCGATTTTGCTTCAATTAAACTTTAATTTAAAGTTTGATAATTCTTTTTAAAAATAATTATGACAACTACAAGTTTCTTTCCAGTTTCTAATACTTAAGTTTTGTCCTTTTTGTAACATATTTAGATTTTTAAGTTGAGGAGGTTTAAAAAAACAGTAAAATTATAAATATATAGTTTTTGGTGTCATTTTGGTGGGTGGGTCTTGTAACAATGCATGAATCGTAACAGCATGTCTATAAGTTAATATTATCGCTTAAAACGCTTTCAACTTTGAACAGCTTTGAACTTCTTAATTCCTCTTTGTTCGTTTAATTGCCGCCCTAATTTTATAATGTAATTTGGTTGCAATTTCGTTATGGCGAATTCTTTCATTATATTGGCCTGATTAATTACCAGAATTCAATTTATTTGTCCCCAACAATTAGCTGCCTAACGTCATATACATAATCAAAATAATATTTCGACATGGAAACTATCTCCACTATGGAACACAACTGCGAAATTTAATTTGTATCGGTATCGATTTTCGTGATTTATCATTCGGCAGCAGGGGCAATAACTGTCAGAACAAAAATATTTCAGCTTGATATATTAATGCATTGTTTGTATTATTATAATTTATATTCATACTTTGGCTTCATAATGTAACGATTAAACACAAACAAATTTTCATATTATGATCTGTACAACTATTTTGTTTTGGGTAATACGAAAATATGGTTTGGCCTTAATAGGCAAGGTCCACATTAGTGTGATATACTCCCTTCAATTCGGTCAGAAACTTCAAATATCTTGATTTGCTTTGCTTAGTTGTTGTCTGCCTGTTTGTCTATTAATATTGTTTAGTTTCGATTCGTCATTTTGAGAAGTAGCTATTTTCTGGAATTTCTGCTTTTTGTAAATTCGCGGTTCCGAGTCGGTTTCAGATATTTAGAGTAGATTTACTTGAAATTGACCATCTGAAATGTGGTTTCGAATTCGATTTCTATTATCCAAAAACAACATTAAATTTCTTTTAAAATCAATTTGAAGTTAAATAATAAATTTTGGTCATAAAGTGTCTTGGAGCTTGAACAACCATCTTCAATTTGCTCCTAAATTAAATATTAATATTTCTACTTTTTCCATAGTTATGCTCCGTTACTTAAAAAACTATAGAAACTCCATCCGGTATTGGCTGGGTATTCAAAAATCCAAATTCCTTCTGATTCATAAGGAATGCTATCTATACTTAATTGATATAATCGTTGAGATTTAATAAACCATTAAAAAAATTTCAGACTGCTATTTGAGAGTAAAACGTAATGGATTATCTTGATGAACTAGCAACCAAATGGCCTTTTTAAATCAGTCTGGGGAAATAATTTATCCACAAAACCGCACATAAACCGCAAAACTCTTGTATGCCTTGAATTCGCAATTCGAGCCAGAGTAATATAATATAATAGCTGCAAAATCTGTTGCCGAAAACTAAGCTCAGAGGCAAAATTTAAGATTCATAGAATAAAATATGAGAGACGATAAAATATTCATCTAGTGTGCCTTGAGCTTGTTGGCGTAAAACGACATGGTGTAGAATAAACAAAGGCAGGAGAAGCTGAGGTGGAAATAGTTGAAAGTCGACACTTTCCTGTCACCGCCATTTTGATCCTTTTTAACTAGGAAAGTAATATTCCTGGCATTTGTTTCAGTTCGTGTTTTGCTCTTTGTCTGGTAAACGGGCGTATGATTTATTAGTTCAAATCCATCAATTAATCTTGTGAAAATTGAATCAATCTTTAAGCAACGCAACATCGCCAATGAACTATTTAAGATTTTATGAACGTTTTTTGGGAAAATATGTGCTTTAAACATATTTTTATTGTTGTTGAGTCATTTATATTTGCAATTAATTTTTTGCTTTTTCTGCATAGATGATCTCGATTTTCATTTGAGTGATTTGTGGAGTATTTAATTAAATTTCATAATTATTAAATTTTCGGTTTTTTTCTTTTTGCTTTGCTAAGTCAATTTTGTGAAATGCTAAATGGTTCTATTTCCAAAAGATCGGCTTCCAATTGGCTCATTTGAGAATTTTTCTTTTCCGATAAGTTTTATTTCCGAAAGATTAAGTTTCAATTGGATTTTTTGTGGAGTATTTAATGAATTTATTTCTTAATAAAATGTAAAATTGTTTGCATTGCATTTGAAAGAAAATTTTGTGAGATTGTGACTGGTTTTATTTCCAAAAAAWTGACTTTYGTTTATTTGTGGGAGATTGAATGAAATTTCGTAACACAATGAGCGGRTTTCATGCTTTTYRTTGCTAAGTTATTTTTGTGAGATTTCGATAAGTTTTATTTCCGCAACATCGACATTCAATTGGATTTTTTGTAGAGTATTTAATGAAATTAGTTAATAAAAATTTAAACATTTTGCTTAGCATTTCGAACTTAATTTTGAAAGTTTGTGACTGGTTTTATTTCCAAAACATCGACTTTCAATTCGTTCATTTGTGGAAGATTGAACAGAATTTCTTAAYACAGGTTTAATGCTTATMATTGCTAAGTCAATTTTGTGAGATTGTGRTTAGTTTTATTTCCAAAATATCGACTTTCAATTCGTTTATTTATGGAAGTTTCATTGAAATTTCTTAATAAAACTAACGGATAGAATGCTTTGCAYTTCTAAGTCATTTTTGTGAGATTTCTAGTAGTCTTATTTCTAAAACATCGGCTCTCAATTAGATCATTTGTGAATATTTAATAAAATTTGTGGACAAAATTCGCAATTTGCTTACTTTGTATCGCTAMATCATTTTTGTGAGGTTGCTAGTGGCCTGGTTTCCAAAAGATCGACTTTCGTTTGGCTCTKTTGYGGACTAAATGATAAAATTGCTTATTCCAATTAAAGATTTTGTTTGATTTTAAAATTGAATTTAATTATTTTGTGTAACTTCGTATATTAAATTATGAATGAAGTAATCGTGTTTTAGGTACTAGACTTTGGCTGTAGAGATTCCCAACGTATTATAATATTTTGATTAAACATTAGATATTATGAATATGCAAAATGTGGTTGCAAAATATTTTTAAAAGTAAATTTGAAATCAGTTTTATTAAATTCTGAAGTAAAAAGGGAATTTTTGCTTAAGCCGAATTAGGTAGTGAAAGCAAATGGAAATTGAAGTAAATAACGATATTTCTACTAAAAGTTGAATATTGCAAAAGCTTTTGTAAAATAACTTACAAATCAAACCCGTCATAGCAGTTTGAACACAATTGGATAATCAACCAAYAAAAAGTACTTTAATATAATTGAGGCCGAATTACTAAACATTTTAAGTGRCCGACGGTTTAAGATAACTTTGAATAGAGATATAGGCAATAGATATACAGATAACTGAACATTTTGAGCTTCATTCATCTAAATGTGTTGTTAAGTGTGTGCTCATAAGTTGTTTCAAGACATAATTTCCATTCTCCATAGCGTTCACCTGGCTAAGATTTGCTAGTGCCGACCAAATAATCCCTAAAATAAACTTCAAAGACCCCGTAAACCATAAAACTTTCTGCATTTCTCCATCAAGCGGCGCCCCCGCGAAAATAAAAACCCCCCGGCCGGGGCCTTCGCCTTTTGCAGTCATTGATTTCTTACTCCACGTTCGCCACGCCTATTCTCCTTCTCTCCCTTCCTTATTCTTACCCCTGACGCCCCCACCCAGAACATTACAGTGAAGTCTTACACACCGGTGCGATTTTCAATTTTTGTAGGGGATTAATTTTCCCCCATTCCATGCTATAAAGTTGGGGTAAAATATTGCGGGTTTGCCGATTTTGAACTTTTTTTGTGTTTAGAATTTTTTAAATTATACAGCGAAAGTGATGTGTTTGATATCATGAAATGCGTAGCAATTTATTCACTTTTCTAATTGGAAAAAAGTGCCCATTTTTGATAGCTCGCTTTGGTTATAGTTGGCAATGATATTCGCTGAATCTTTCTCGTATTCATTGTTTAAGGGGCATATTAACGATTATTTTTTAAATTTACAAGCAACATAGTTGATGTTAGGAATTCATTCATTCTAATATGTGCTGTATTTTTGGTTTTCTTACTCTAAACTGTTTTGATTTTCGCTTCATTCCATGATTGGAGAATACAACTTCTTTTGTACAACGGCCATTGATACGTCTTCATAAAGGTACTGTTTTATGTAAATCCATGTTTCGACGTTCTGCAAAAATAAATTAATGAGTAAGCGAATAATTGCTAATTTTTATATTCTCAACATTCTCGAGCTCTTTCCATAGTTGCTCGAAACTGATGAGTTGTCCGGGTTTTTGCGTCCTTTTTTCTTGATATTTTGCAAGCACGACCGGCTTGCATAAATACTACAATTAATTAAGATTTGACCTATGAAGATAATATAAGTCTTTTGTGCTTTCGAAACTTCATAAGGCCATCTTTTCGACGACTTGCCAATGGCCCAAAAAATTCACCAGTTTTATTTTCAAAATAGTTAAATCAGTTATCAGAACAAACATTTATTTTGATTAGTATTTAAGTTTCTAATTATTAGTCATTAAAACCGTTATTACTTTTATTTGTATCTTATACTTACATAGCTAAAAGCAGGTGGTTTTTAACGTTTGCAGTGTCTCAACCATCTTTTTTGTTTTTGTCAGGCTCTTGTATTTGAATTTCTTATTGATGGTCCATTGTCTTTCTTTTTCGCACTGTATGTAAAATAAGGCCAGGTGAGAAGCACGTGGTGCTTCGTATTGATATCTGAAATTTACAGTTTTATGGAAATGGGGCTTTCGATAAAAATTTAATAGGTTGCGCTTCGATTTCCATTCCAACGGTTTTTTTCGTAAAAATTGTTATCTTTGCTTTCTAAATCAGTAGCTAAATATTTGATAATCACTTCTTATATGAATATTTAGTTTCAATTACCTTAATTTTCCGTCTGTTTCTCTTATGGCCTCTCATCTACTCATCTTATAATTGTTCTAATTTTCCGTGTGATGAATGGTAAGTGTGCTGCAGGTATACAAAACAAAAATATTTTAGAAACAAAATCTTAAATGAAACTGCAAGTATATAAGTAAAGTGGTAAAATTATATTATAGCATATTGTAAAAAACTTGTTCTTTGAGAGCTTCAGCTTAAAATAAAACGGATTCTGTGCTGATTTAAACCCGTCCTTTATCATCTAGTTTTATCTTACCTTTAAATAAAATTAAAAAGCTATTCTACATTAGACAATTTAGTGTCAAATCTGAAAAATGAGTCCGGCTTTGATCCATTGATTTAGTTCTCCTGTTTTGATTCCATTGATGTCCTTTTCTGATGCCTGCAAATTTTAATACATTATTTAGTAAAACTGAAATTTTAATCCATATAAATATATTATTAAAACAATATAGTTATGTTGCAGATACTTCACTGTATCTAATTAATCTACGATTAATAATATAATATCCGGTTATATTGCAAAAAGCTACAGGCAATCATTTTTCATTAGGATATCCACAATATAAACAGCAATTTCCTCTCTAAGCCTTGCTAAGTGGCTAATTTTCCAAAGTCGACCTCCGACATGAAAAATGCTCCCCCGGCACGGTAAAATCAAGAAAAACGATCGGAAAGAGCGCGGAAAATGCGGAGAAAACCGCCGGGAAAGCCGTTAACTTTTCCCGGGTATCGTTTTTTTCCAGTGAAAAATGGTCCGGGCACTTTTAGCAAAGTGAATTTAAAGTGGAGCAGATTGTTTTACATTATTTAGATGTCAGACAGGATAATTTACTTTTTCCCGTCCGAATACAGGGAAAATGTTGGTTGGTTTGTGGCTTTTCGCAGATTTCACTAAATTATCGTGCTATTTAACGGATCTGGTGTTGGATGATAGCAGATTAACACTAATATAACGGTTCTGTTCTGAATAAATGTTCAGTTATCGATTCCGGATGAAATCAATTAAATTAACGTTTGGAACATGCATGCTTAACGTATTTTAAAAATTATGGGCTAAGCATGACTAGGAACTCTGCAGCTCAGTTTTAAGTATATGAAGTAACTTGCACTAAAACTTGACCAAATCAGTAATGAAATAAATGTAACGTTTATTTCACATAGCTGTGAATTGAAAATTAGTTTTTGCATGTAAGATGTTCCTCMAAAGTGCAGAAAMGCTGCAGCTACAAATTCTTGAGGTCAAATCACGAAAATATWAGCCAATTTGCTTTGTTCCAAAAGTGAATGATTTTGGAGATAGATACTGAAATGTTCAACATGGACTCAGTTTTTCCTAAATATAWTTTTAAGTACCAGCGGATTGCCCAATATTCGACTAGTGCGGATGTTCTTGAGGGYAAGAAATTGAAAACTGATTTTCAGSTYTTAGAACAATGTAGAAGGTCCGGCGGTACTTTGCACATATTTTGTAKATTTTGGTATCTATACTGTGYGGCCATGACAAATATTAAWTTTGAAAWTTGTTTGCAAATTCARCTKTACTACTTTGGTTATTCTCTTTTCCGATATTKCSGTRCTRCTYGTAATTTCTWATAACRCAGAATAACACCTATCAGCTTCAGAATTTGCACCWCTTGAATCAGTGTSGGTTTACCACAATAACTATAAAAATTGGGTTTAATTATTACWAKAAATTGGACATGGCAATGCACGAAAGGAGTTTAAAYAGATGTACCTATACAGACATRCTGGAGAATAAGAAATTATAYTTRAAACTATTTRAAACTAGAAAARTTATTGCGATTTAAATGTGTRCAAAGTAAAGCAGGTGAGGKTTTCACCTCAGTTCGTTARCTGGATCAAATCATCATATTTTAAGYTCACGGACCTGCAATCTCATTTTGTTTTCKCACTTTTCCCTGGTACACCCTGGTATCTTTATATYTTGARAAACTGCATCTATTTAAATATATTTTAAATACCCATAGAACTTTCTTGAAGCCAATAGTAATTGTAAAGGGAATTTAGAACAACTATTTTGTCGTCAATGTTTTATATGCAACAACAGTTTTAATTTGTGTGAAGAACCAAAAGGTGTTTTGCCATTTTAGGTCCTTGGAAATCGTGATTCGAATTGCGGAAAGCGACAAAAACTATAGAATTATTCTGAATGTCACGTCCCCTTCATTTTGATTAATGTAGTCGAATTTCTTTGGACTTCAGGTTAACAGACCCGAGTTCTGTATTTTAGTTAAATTATTATCAATCCCAAGTTTGTTGTGGGCTTTTTACTTTGCTGAACAACTGAATTGACCGGGAGATATTTGCTAACACTACACTGCCATTTGTGAATATCGCATTGTAAATGATTAATTGCAGTCCAATTATTACATTTTTCAGAGCCAATTTGAACACTTTATGAACACTTTATGAATAATGGTAAATTTTTCTCAGTCGCAGTTGAATTTAATCTTTGTATAATTGATAAAATTTGTTATAAATAAAATATGTATAAAACATATCTTGTTTTTTTAGAGCTCAGCTGAGAAAACTTTTAAGAAAGAAAGTTTTAAGAAGAAAATGCTTTCTTGGTTAATTTAAAAAATATAAAAATATTTTATTAAATTGAAAAGACGGGAAAGTAATATATTATTTCAGTCACTTTCTTCTAAAGTTCTAAAAAACAGCGGTACTTTAAATAAAACTTAATAAATTTTGAGAGAGTTACCGTTCAAACGTCTTAGATGTTGTTATATTTTCGTCGTCAATTTTTTGGTTCTTTTTTTAGAAAATGTTTTAAAAACTACGCTTAGCTTGGCTGTGCTTAGCAATAATATTTTTTTTGTATAAAACTCTATATAAGTGTTACTATTGTTGACTGATGCCTTAAGTATGGTCTGGGCAAGAACAGTTGACAATGACGACTCACATAGTCGAGCCAAAATTTAGCAAGGGGCCCTAAAACAGTTCGATTTGCTTTCTTTCAAGTAGGGAGACATAAATAGATATAAATAATAATTTAATCGATAGTTCCCTTCACATGGTTCCCTTTGGGTTGAGACTGGTCTTAAACTTTTCCTTGCAATCAATCACGTACCTTAATTAAATTAATTAATTAGGAAATATGATAATTAATACTTAATGCAAATATAGCGCTGGAATCTTTCTCAATAAAATATGCAGCCTTGTTGTTTAAGCACGTAATATTGTCACTTTGGTACAAAGATAAAAAGATTTGTGTTTAGTTAACAAGACATTAGGTCTTGATTCCATTGATTTTCTTCTACTGCTACAATATTATTGAAAAATTTTGCATATTCTACAACGCATATGTTTCTATTTTTATTGTAAATAATATCAAAAGCAACATTAGTTCAATATGAAGTATTATATCATGCGACCGCTGCAGAAGTGAGTAATGCGAGTGTTCAGCCAAAAATAAAAAACCTACGTAAAAAGCATTATTGGTGATTTGTTTTAGATATTTGTGAATTGGGTTACTCAGATTATCCACTTCTATAACTGCACAAAAAGGACGTTAATATAGAAGGAGATGTATTTCATTTGAGAGTGCAAAAGGAAAAATTATATGCAAATTCATTCGGTTCGGTTTGAATGCGGTTGTATACTTAGAATTTTTTAGTTGTAACTGTCTAAAAGTCACGTTATAATTTATTTGATACTTCAGTTGACGAAAGGAAGCGAAAAAACGACGAAATTAAAGACAAAATTATATTACTAAATTTAAGAACCAAAAATAGGTTTAGGATTAAAAACGATGCGTGCCCTGGATGTTCTGGGTTTGTGTTTCGTCATTTCTAATTTGCCGATTCGAAAAGCTGCCAACGTTTCATTGATTTGCTGTGGGAAATAGCAGACATTAAACGAAATTAACTGATAGAGGAAATTTATAACGCAAATGATGAAAGTTAAGAGTTTAAGAGAGAGTAAAAACCATTCTTCGGAAATATTTGCTGCTAAACAAATTGTGTATACTTTCACAAAAAGTAAATTTCATCGGTAAACTTGTATTCAGGAATTTAAGAAATTTGGAGTTGATATTTTATGAGAGGGTGTCGAAAAAATCCTAGATAAGAATGAAGAACTGCTTGTTATGTGGTAGAAATTACAATTGCAGTAAAATAAAGTTTTTTGGTCAAACCTTGATCGATTAGATATACTACTTTAGAATAATTAGCAACAATCAGCATGTGACTTGATTTCTCGTTTTTCGTGGGTTCTTTACTGATAAGGCCTTAGAATTTTGAGTTTAGAGACTAGTATTACCTAGCAAATCTGGAGCAAACATTGCCTATAAACTTGTGTAAGAATGGATTAACTCAGTTAAATTTGCAGGGTTTCAATATATTTTTAACATTTAATTTATTTCTAAATCGTTCAGGAATAATTAAAGAATTAGCATTAAATTGAGTTGATATTGGCGTACGAAACTCTTTAAAACGTTAACGTATTGGTTCGAACCCCTTTTTCTCAAATAAGTATACCATCCATTAGTGAAGAAGCTGTCTGCAGACATTTTTTAAATATTGTTGTTGTTTCAGACGTATCTTAGTAACTTGTAAATTGTAAATATTTGTAAAAAATGATGAATTTCTAACTCAGTTGGTGAAGAAGTGAAATGAAATGCAAGTATGAAAGTGCAGAAGATAACAACAATAATAATAATCGATAACAGTTGAAAGCATCTGAGGCAAATATGATTAATTGAGCAATATTCTCAAATTTCTTGTATATTTCTATTTGAACGACAGCAAAAATGACCCGCTAGTTTCCAAGCATAAAATATGCTCGTCTTTCTGAAAATTTCAACATAGCTGTTCATTTCTCTGGTCATTTGCCACCGAACATCTCAACTTGCCAAGCTTCAAATAACTGTGCTTTTTGTATTCTGCCCGATTCTTTTAAATTATTTTTCCTATCGGCTATTTAAGTATTTCTGGCAATAAACGCGAATGTCCTTATATTTGGAACGGTTGTTAGAGAATAGCATCTTCCACCCGAATTTCCGAGAAGCAAACAGCAACGTTTGACGTTATCAGCCACAGTCGGTTAGTAGTAGTGGCTGGCGACGCCGAACACGTACTACGATTTAAATACCCTGGAGAATTTTACCCCGATAAGAATAGTTGGGTTGTGTTTTGTTAGACCAGATCTGGACTGGGGCCACAATTATCTGGTATTTGCAAAATCAACTTTTCATTAACATTTTATTGATTTTCGATTGAATTCCAAAGCAGCCACATCAACAACACAAAACTACTTTAAATGGAAACCATTTGAAATGAGTTAAAGATGGAAGAAATTGGGAAATCTTAGACTTGGCACAAAAGTGCTAAATTTACTCAATATTAAACCAAT